ATATCCGTGCCTTTAGCACTAATGTCTTTTGTCGACTGATGAAAAACAGTAACATAGGCCGAAATTACTATCCGATCAGGTGAGGTTTGACACCTTCCACTGCCACGTCTGCCTTTCTGTCCTTGACACACATGCACAGTAGTGGTAGGTAGGCCGTGGACATCACAAGACATTATACAGACAGGCTATTTTATCATGGCTACCTGGCAATGGAGCCCAAAAGTGTGGGATCATTTTAGGAAAATGAAAGAGAAACCTGTGCAATCTGCAAGGCAGAACTTGCCTTCCACGGCAATTATTTTTAGTTCGCATATTGCTAAAACCTAACGTTTATATAATAGCTGCATTCTGGCACAATAAGCTGTATGTTTTATATTAATGTATGATCCAAATAGTCGACTAATCAAAACAAATAATCGGTGATTAGTCGACTATAAAAATAATTGTTTGTGGCAGCCCTAAATGACGTTTTTAAAGTGATGTTCTGTCATACAGTAATCAGTAGAAAGGCCATATGTTTTAGTCCATGTTATGCAACAGGGGCATTGGTATGAATCTGGCGATACGACACACATCATGACACAGGGGTTGCAATATAATATATTGTGATATATTGCCTTTTTTTGTCTAAAACCTCTATTTAAAACTGTTTTGTATCAATTTTATTAGTTAAATATTTCTTATTTCATCCATGTTTTAAGTTGTTAGACTGAATGTGCCATTAAATAGTTTGATAATATATTTGTGGCAGCTTTTAGATTTTAATATTTACTCTAAAAATATGGTCACCCAACACACTAAGAGCCTATATCTCGTCCTAAAGTTCAGCTAATCGATGACATGAAGCTGCTGCACACAGTCTCTGTTGTTGGCTGTCACAGGGCAAGGGGGAGAATGCAAGTACTCCAGTCATTTCAATGCACTTTCATGTGGTCATTGCATTAGGCCACTTCAATACTGTCCCTCGGGAACCTCCTGAGCTCAGGGTGCTTCCTGCCTGCCTTCCGTAATGCGACAGCCGACTACAGTCAGGAGATAGAGCGTCCCAAACGAGTCTCTTCATTTTGATTTAAAATATGAACATTCTGGCTGAAAAAGGAACTGTGGGCAACCTTACGTCAGCTTAGAAGGCAGCAGGTGTCTGTCTAATCTGCTCAGATGCAGCAATCACCACATGCTACTATTGTAAACTCACAATGCTAATGTCTGAGCTACCGTTGTATACTCTAGCTCCTCAGGAGTGGAGGAGCCAAAACGTTCCCTGACTGCTGCCAACTAGCATAAAAATGAATTGTTGGCATGAAAGTTTACAATTTAAACCTTAATTGAAAATCGCTACAGGGCTTTAGAGAATTGATACAGTATATGGAAATGAAATATTGTGATATTTCAGCATATAAATGTTTCCTTACACCCCTATTAGGCAAATATCAGATCAGAAGCATTTATTGTCATTCACACAACATCAAAGATGCAATGCAGAATGAAATTGCAGTTTAGAACATCCGTCCGGAGAAACACACATGGGGGAACAAATGTCCAAGGTCTTTCGCAACATGGTCGTGCTACCTTTTGCGCGACCATGTTGCGCAAATATGACTGGCCAAACAAGGGCCAATTTGTAAATCAATGGACATACTGGTAAGAAGCAAGATTTAGCTAATATTAAACCTCTAAATTAGCCTGACACCATTTATTTAGCTTGTTTCTTTAGAAACTGAACTGAACGTCTGTGTTACAGAGATGGTTACTGTTTGATGTTGATGCTATAAATGTACCATTCTGCCTGAAAGAAATGTCCCAAAGTTGGCTAAACTCCCACTAGTTGAGAATGAAGACTTGAAGATCTTTTTGTTCTGACCTTCTGGGTGTGGCGAGCTTAGTTTTTAGAGTAAACTGCCTGAAATGACTCCTGTTAACACATGTCCCTTTTGTGCTTTAGTTTAAAGGAGCAGATGGAGCAGGCTGCTGTGGTCTACATGGACCTTCTGGAGGGAAAGGACACGCCTGTGGCTGGATCCACATGTGAGTTCAAACAACTTTTTTTTTTCTTTTTTTTTTCCCCCTTTGACATGAATGTGACAGTTTCCACATGTCTGAACAAGGGGATACATTAGCGTTTTCTGACAAAATAAACATCCAGGCATGGATAAATATTGCAATAAAAAAAATAATCCTTTCTTTTTTTTCTTGAACACCCTGCGACTTTGCAAATTCTCCCACTTAGAAATCATGGAGGGGTCTGAAATTTTCATTTTARGTGCATGTCCACTGTGAGAGACATAATCTATGATGAAAAAAAAATCCAGAAATAATAATGTATGATTTTATTTTATTTGTATCAAAAAGAAAAAAATAAGTAGGTCCTCTGGATGGGTTCTTCTTTAGTGAAATGTTTCGTCTCTCCTCCAAGAGACTTCTTCAGTCTGAGTTTCAGGTGAACTCAGCCTTATAAGCACAGCCTCCACCTGGACAAACAGGTTAATCACATGCAAAAGAGGGCCATCACCTAACAATAGTTCTATTTAGTCGCAATTTATTTAGCCCTGTGACTAAATAGAGCTATTGTTAGGCAATTAACCTCTTTTTCATGTGACTAACCTGTTTGTCCATGTGGAGGCAGTGCTAATAAGGCTGAGTTCACCTGAAACTCATCAGACTGAAGAAGTCTCTTGGAGAGACGAAACGTTTCACTAAAGAAGAACCCATCCAGAGGACCTACTTATTTTTTCTTTTTGATTTTTTTTCTACCTGGATTACTGAGATGCATCAGGATATTTATTTGTACGTTACTGCTGCGAATACGTATTTGAACACCTGCCAATCAGCAAAAATTCTGGCCCTCAAAGACCTGTTAGTCCACCTACACTCCACTTATTCTAAATTAGAAGTACCTTTTTGAAGTCGTTGGCTGCATAAAGACACCTGTCCACCCCACACAATCAGTAAGACTCAAACTACTAACATGGCTAAGACCAAAGAACAGTCCAAAGACACCGCAGACAAAATTGTAGTCCTCCACAAAGCTGGAAAGGGCTACAATGCAATTGCCAAGTAGCTTGGTTTAAAAGTATCAACTGTTGAGTAATTATTAGAAAATGGAAGAGGATAACATGAGTGTCAATCTCCTTCGGACTGGGGCTTCATGCAAGATTTCACCTCGTGGCATATCGATGATCCTAAGAAAGGTGAGGAACCAGGCCAGAACTACACGGGAGGAGCCGGTCAATGACCTGAAGAGAGCTGGCATCACTGTGGGTCATACACTAAGACATCATGGTTGAAAATCATGCATGGCATGGACGTTTCCCCTGTTTAAATCAGCACGTCTAGGCCCATCTTAAGTAGACTCATGGAAGAAATGGAACTTTTTGGTCTTATTCCAATCGCCGTGTTTGGAGGACGAAGAATGATGAGTAAAAATACCATCCCTACTGTAGAGCATGGGGGGGGTCGACCCAGCCTGGGTGTCCTTGTGTTATATGTTCTGATAGTGGCCCGAATGTTGGGGTGGGTGTAGTATGTCTTCTGGGGTGGTAWTGGGTTGGTGGCCATGGGTGGTGGCTGGGGGCTGTGCTGGGCTGGCTGGTTGGCCCCTTTGCTGTGGCGGG